TTTCAAAGAACTGGTAGGCACAGATCAGTTCCTATCAAAGAACTGGTAGGCACAGATCAGTTCCTATCAAAGAACTGGTTGAACAGATCAGTTCCTATCAAAGAACTGCTTGGACGGACCAGTTCCTATCAAAGAACTGTTTGAACAGTTCTCAAAAACGGAACTGATATGGAACTGTTCAGGGTCTACTCTCCGATTTCAAAATTCAATCTATAAAGAAACATGAGTCGTAAGTATCTTTTGTCGCATGTTTCTACGCTATCTAGCCAAAGATAGACGTGTTCCGCAGATGTTTGTAGATTTTTTTATTCTTTTTATCAGTTTTCTTTTGTTGTCCGGTTCGAATTGTTAATTTTGTTGCATACTATTTATTGTAAGAATTCCACTGAAAAAGTCTTATGGTATGCAGTTTAATACACGTAATATTTTTTCTACAGAAGCTGCAAGCGTCATTGATCTGTCATGCGTTATAATTAGAATCTTATTTGAAATAGTAAATGTGCAATATTCTACTATTAAGAGACGTACATAGCAATCACTAACAAATTAAAATAAAACAGCAGTTGTGAGAAAAAATTGAAATAAAAACAAAAATTGACAGAGTTAAAAGACCGTAATATAATGTTTTCATGAATTTTTGTGACTAATCGTTTCTCTCTTTTATCAAAAATTAAAAAATTAATGACTTTTGTCCTGAGAAAGTATATTATTCATCTCAATCAAGCAGTTCTCCTTGTCACCAAGTAACCAGCTGGCATAAAACTATTTTTATAAGGTAATTAAAACATACATTGAGCAGAGTAGTTTGTAATTACTTTTTCTAAATTAAACTAATGTACACAACAAGTGCAAGAAACAATTCTCTGGCTGCTTATCAATAGTTCTTTTTTTCGCTAAAATTGGACAAACTGACGTTTTTGGATATCAGTCCTCCAAGTGCTCCCATTTCCAAGTATGGAAATGGCCTGCAAACGAGTATAACGACCTTTCGGGAACAAAAAAAAAAATCAAAACTCCAAATTAGTTTTCAAGTCTTGTACATATAATATCCTTTCGCTTACCAACAAAACATAAAATCTACTGATACCACAAGATAACTTTGACATGTCTATGTGCACTAGAAGTATTGTCAGATATCTTACACAATCAAAATAAAATAAACTCAAAATTCTGATAGTCCTCTAACCTAGCCTATTCGCTTAAAATCTTCTTTTACTTACTTCTTGTGTGTTGTTTTCAAACACACTACTCTAGAGAATGAAGAAAATAAGAGAGGCTCTTTCTCTTTTCTATTTTTGTTTCAAGAAATTAATATGAAAATATAACTCTTCAAGAATGCGAGTCAGTCATTAGCCAGTAAAGTTTATTATTATTATGACTTTTGTTAAAATTGAAACAGGTGCGTTATAAAGATTTTGTATGATGATCAAAGCATAACATTTATTAAGCAGCATAAAAAAAATTTCTCTACTTTCTTAAATTTCAAATATTCAGCGTTTTCTAATCTCGATGTGACGTGTTTCTTATAAAATAGAGAAAAAAACATTGTTGATGTTCCATCGATGGAAATTTCCATGAATCGTATACGTTATAAAATGCTTAGCTGCTGATGTTGTATTACCTAGATGATGCGCCTTGAGCAATCTTTATTTTTTTATCGAATAGTGCAAAAGTGAGACACAATAATTTGTGTCAATTGCCACATCAAAGAAAAAAATGGAATATAATACAACAAAAAAGTACACATTTTATTCTCACATAAGATTTCTTTTCGAGAAAATACACCCATAGATAGTAGAGGGTGTAGGTTTGAATGGTGTGGTTGTGGATATGGCTCATCCTTTTACGAACATCAATTATACACACCCTAACCAGCATCCCATACTCACACTCCTACACAAGTGTATTTTTCATTGGAAATAACATGTACTGATATATATATATATGATTCGATGCAGTTTTTGACGCTGAATCCGAATATAATATTTACTTTTTTTTGCAACTGATTCACGATAATGAAACCATCTAAATACGAACACATTTTTTACCTTTTTATTTGATTTTCCTACTCAAAAAGGAAAAAAAATCGGTTTTCTCAGCAATAGAACAAAATAGAAAAAAAGAAAATGCCTCGTTTTGCAGCTGACCATACAAACATTTATAATGACTTGAAACAGTTTCCTCTGTTTCTTGTTACGAAAACCTAGATAGATTTACAAGAAAATTCACAAATGTGTGCTGTGGAATATTTGGAAGCTATTCGTATTGGGCACGATTTATTTTACATGTTTAACTCGAAATCTAATCAAATAACATTATTCTATTCAGTTTTTAACACTAAATCAGAACAGAATGTTTTCATAAAGTTCGAGAAAATAACCTAATTGAAATTTAACAATTTCTATAAAAAAAAGTGTATTCATATTTGCCATTACTATATTTTCAGTCAGTCGAGTTTTTCAGGTTTTTTTCTGCCAGAAATAGTCTCATAGAAATAAAAACCATATATTCAGGACCAGCATCTCAAGCTCTATCAAACCATCTATAAATGAATGAGAAAAAGATTTTGCTGCATTATTCATTGGGTGTATCTTATTTTCAATCGATTATTAGTTTATTGATCTTTCTATTGAATCAATGACGAATTAATGGTTGTTTTAGAGAAAAAGTAAAATTGAAGGTTATTTCAATAACTCTTCTCATTGGATAATCAAATTAAAGAAGTATTCAAGTCATTTTAAAGAATTAAATCGAATAATTCAATGATTTCCAGTAAGTTCGATTCGAATTCGAAATCGAAGTTAACGATGAAAGATTTTTTTTGTTAAAGATAAATCAAATATCAACAACGAGATGCAATCTGTTAACATTCCTTTCAAAAAATCTTTCCAAACAATTTCGTCGAATTGCCAATGCTTTCTTTTTTATTTCTGTTATGTTTTCAGATATTTCAATGACAAAAAATGAATTTATTAGTAAAATATGTTTTTTATTTCTTGATTTAGTTTCTCCCTCCAATAAGTTCCTTTCAATCAATCAATGAGTAATCTTCTATCACTTGTTTTTGTCTTAGTAGTGATTGCGATAAAAGATGGAATCAGTATCTCATCTTTTCTTTCTTTTATCTTTTCAAAACCAAATTTTTGATTTAGGCGAGATATCGAAGTAGTGAATTAAATAGTTTGATTAGAAAACAACGATTTAGTTCCGATGAGGAATTCTTTTCAAAGCAATGTCTTTCAAATAATCATCTATTTTCCATGCTTTAAAACAGAAAGATTCATTTATTCCACCGAAAATGTGAAATGTCCAAGATATTGTTTATGCTTGTCGGTCTGTCTACCGAGCATTTCCTAATGTTCTAACGAGCGAACAGTCGTTATTATCAATTTTTTTCTTGACCAATCGTCTGTCGCGACCTTCCACTTTGAACATATATTTTAATATCTCTTTATATGATACGACCTTTTCTTTTCTTTTAAATGCTGACTTGCGTGTGTTCACAACTGCTGGGTAAACTAGTCATAGAATGAACATAAAGGCTTACCTATCTGCTATTCAGTACAACCTTAAAGAGTTAGAGAGAATTTTCGCTGATATTTTTCAGAAACTCTTCGAATAAAGTTAAATGGCTGCTATTCTACTTGATATCAATGCCAAAAAAAAGACTAATACATTTAATTACTCAAGTAGTCTTCGACATGGCAGTCGTATGAAGAACTTACTGTGTAGTTGCATGAACAAAAAGGAAATTTTTTCTCTTATATGTTCTATACATTTTCTAGATCTTCCTTAATATCAATCTGAACATGAGTAACACTCACAGTCATAGCATTGATGACTATCAACAAGAACAACAATGTGTCGCTCAATGTGAATATTTATCATCATCACTTTCGTTATCTCGATTTGCTACTTGAAATTCTTATTTACAATATTTTTCCACATTTGACATTTATTGATTTATGTTCACTTTCACTGGTGAACAAATTTTTGTAAACATTTATCGATGCAAATGATGGATTATGAAAAAATGTCATTAAAAATGAAATGTTAGGTATGTTACAACGAATAAGAATAAACATATTGAACTACATAGAATAGGTTTTAAGATCGGTTGTGTTTTAGATGAATCATCACTTTATAGGAAAGTATTTGAACATGAAAAGTTAAAATTTCAGTATTTATATGAACAACGACAAAAACCATAATTAAAATGTGCGAAGAAAATGGTTGCCTGTGACCGATAGTAAGTAGATGTTTCCATTACTCGGACACGAATAAATGAATAAAACATCACAAATCGAAAGAATCAACGGTTCAAAACCTTTGAAGAACATTTAACAGCCCACTTCTATCAATAATCTAAGCATAACGGCAATAGCACTTTCTTAGTTGCAAAACACGTCACATCTTCAGTTTCACTCGATGGATTGTGCTGAAAATCAAGAATTTTGATTCAGTTTCGTACATTGTTTTTGTTTGCTAGAATACCTTAGTTTTGAATCCCATGTGATCAAGACATCTAGTATAGTTTCTTCGGTCCGGACAGTTCAATGATGTCTGGAAGGAGCGCGACTAAAGGTCCTTTAGTCTTCTCCTCATGTGAAAAATCGTCCTAGAGGAATATCGGAAAGAGACTACTAAAGTGGGAAATTCGTTTTTTTCAGCGTTCAGTCCTCTTTCGGAAATTTTCTGGTTTCATGTCTGTAACATGTTAGTATTACTGATAAAAGTTTCAGCATCTGTACTGTGAATAACAACAGAGCTCGTATCGGCTGTTTACTTTTATGATAAGAGGTACTACTTGAATGAATATCGTGGAGTCTTCTATGGTTTTGAAAGTTTTTCTATGTAGTTCAACAGTTCAAATAAGTACGAATTTTTCCAAGATCATTGAAATAGTTTTTTCTATGTGTTATTTCTAGTACTAATCGTCAATGTTTGTTGCACAAGTATATAACAGTTCGATCGACAATAAATACAATACAGAAAGCAAAACAAAATCATGAATTATGTAAGAACCTTTAATGTTAAATACAGTGTTACCCAATACAACTTTTTTTTTTGACTCAATATGCTTTAGATATCAATTTTTTTCATGGCGAACTATAGAACAATATCACCATGGACACGATGGAAGATTACAGTCGAAGCTTACTAACAGAAGCTGAAAATCTAGACGAAACAAATGCATCAACACATGACATGATAGAAATTCAAATCAAATGTTTGAAATGTCAATCAAAATGTTATGATCCACCTAGTTCATGTATACAACCACATCCATACAATTAATTTATCAGTTATCTATCGTTAGAAAATCAGAGCGGTGAACGAATCGAAATCATTGAGATCTACTGTGGCAAATGTTAACGTTTTTCATTATGAAAAAATGAATTATCGGGACCTATCGCTTATTTTATTTTACCCACAGATCATTAGCATCAATCGATGAAAACTTTTTCTCAACAGCTACAATATGACTATGGTTTACCATTGTTAAATAAAGGCTTCTTTTTGAACAACAACTAATCTATAATTTTCATGATCTATTATCACTTCAAAGATTGTAAAAAATGATTGTAGTCTGCATTTTTTGAAAAAGAGTTTTAAGGCTATGGGTGTGAATTGAGAGAAGATTCACAGCCAAACCGTGCACACACCTACACCACAGTCTTAAATCTGTTGCAAAACAAATGATCTATTCTAACTTGTCTTATTAAGTATCTAGTTTTCTGAACTCTTAAAATAATTGAGCAACAATCACCTTTCGAAGTCTGCATATGCTGGCTACTATGTTTGAAATATAAATCGTATTTCAATAAGAAGAACTTAATATTAGATTTAATTCTAATTTAATTCTTATCTCGTCTTACTCAGCTAATTCCATAAGTTCTTAATAAATAGAAATTCATCCAATATTTGTATGAGTAATTCAACTTGTCAGGATTTTGTGGAAGAAATGAAACCATTACTATGAATTAGTCATACGAAACAAAATCAATAATGAAAAAACAGACAAGTATGATTTAGAGAAACAACATAACAATTCAATGAAAATATTTTTAAATATTGTTATAAGATAGATAGTAATAAGTACAAGGTAATCAACATATGTGTCAAATTGGTCGATGGTAGATCGAGACGTTGCTAAGATGTCTTTTTGCGTCATATGTATGAATGCCATCATCAACACATTGTTTGATTAAGAAGAAGAACAAACAAATTCCTGACAATATCATTCTATAAACAATAGAACAACGATACAATCTTTGAAATATGTTCTCTACAAATGTAATAAGTTATGAAAATAAGGTTGTTATTCGACGCATACGAAACTTACAGTCGATTCTTTTTATTTGATTAACAACTCAACCTAATGAAATTCAATTAGATCAACTTCGAATTATTATTGATTATGTACAAGTCATTGATAATATTGATGGTTGCAATCAATATCTTGAACAGAATGTAGATGATGATCAAGTCTATATTGTTACTGATATTCCATATAGTTCAAATAAGGCACAAATGTATACTTATGAAAATAATGAGAATAGTTTTAATGAAATGATTCAAATAATTGAAATCGATCACAATACTAGAATAAATCCATTGGATATTAATATTTTCCAACAGTCGATACATTCACAATGAAATAGTGAATTATTATGGTTTCAACGTATTCTTGCTATATTACTGGATAATAATGATCGAGAAAAAGCAAAAAAAGAATTTGATTGATGCATATAAAAAATATTTCGATGATAATTGACGAAAAAAAGAAAAAAATCAATTATTTGAAAATACATATCGATCTGAAAATGCTCTTCAATAGTATAGTTGTTAATGTTTCTTTTATGAAATATTAAATAAAACATTACAAACTCAAGATATTGTTGTTTTATTTTCTCTTCGATTCTTTTTAAAAGATATATATGAACAATTAAAAATAGAATACGATAAAACATATCGCGGAATCGATTTGTTTCTTTACAGTGGTCAAATTATTTCATCTTTTGAATTACAAAATATTAGAGAAAATATTGGCCAATTAATATCATTGAATAGTTTTATATCAACATCAGTCAACAAACAAAAATAGCACAAGCTTCTAGTTCGAGTAGAAATGCATTAGAAGGAGAATATGTTTTATTTCATATAAAAGTCAATAAAAATATAAGCAATTTCAAACAATTTGCTGATATTTCGCATGTTAGTCAATTTGTAGATGAAAAAGAAGTTTTATTCATGGCTGGATCGATATTTGAAATAAAAAAAGTCACTTTCTCCAATTCTATTCATATGTGGATAATTGAATTAGAATTGTGTAATGATGATGTCTACGAATTGAATCAAGTTTATCAATCAAATAAAACTTTAGTGTTCGATCAACATTCACCATTTTCTTTAGCAGCTGTATTACTTCGAATGAATCTATTTGATAAAGCTAAAAACTATTATCAACAATTATTTGATGAAGGGTCAATAAATGAAAGTTTATCTATCGATCTTATCGTTAATTGTTACTGGAGTTTAGGTAACGTCAATTGAAAAACAAGGCGAATATGATATTGCATTAGCTAGTTATCGTTTAACAATTGAATTAAGCCCAGATCGATTTGATCTTTTAGTTCGTAGTTACAAATATATTAGCCTTGTTTATCTAGACATTCATTCCATTTCATATGCTTTAGAATATCAAACAAAAGCATTAGAAATTCAACAAAAAAAATTAATGACGTTAAAGATCAAAGAGCAGATACTTTATATAATCTTGGAATAATATATTTTAGTCAGCTTAAACTAAATTATGATCGAGTTTTAGATTATCTTTTACAAGTATTGAGTATTTACAAAGAATTACATATGTATGAAGATATATCTCGATGTTGTGATTCGATTGGAGAAGTTTATTTCAGATAGAAAAAAAAAAAAGATATTGCTATAAATTATCATTTCGAAACATTGAAAGTAATTGATGAACGATTTCCTTCATATCTTCCATATCGTAAAGTTTCATATGAATTTGTTGGAAAAATATATCAATCAATGCGTGATTATGAACAAGCTTTGAAATATTATAATGATGCATTAAATACAAAGCTTAAATATGAACCATTAAATGATCCGACTATTGTAGAGAGTTATGAATTTATAGGTGGACTTTTTCATCAAAACCAGGAGATTGTGTCAAAGCAATTGAAATGTATGATAAGAGTATAGACATTTGACGATGTAAACAATCAGATTCTCATTCAGCTTTTGAATCGATTATTTCTTTGAGAAATTGTCTACAACAAAATGTTGAGTAAGTCTAATTTATAGTTATGAAAAGAAAGTTCATTGTTCTTTATTTCTTAGATATTATCCTAGAGTAATATTTGATTATGATTCATTGAGTGAAGAAGAACCTATGGTTCAATCTTTTCAAGAATCTAAAACTTACATAAGTGATGAAGACAAAAGCTAATTTAAAAAAAAATCAATTGTCGTTGAAAATTTCGATCCTTTACTGAGAAAAGCATTAGCTTCTATCGGTGATCACAATTTTATAAATTTGTATTTTCTCACATTAAATATATAAAATAAGTACACTGACATATACCAAAGTTACTTGTTTTTTTTTAAAACTCAACCTAATATTTGACTAGTTTTTGATTCGATCTCAACCGAAAACCAACTGTTATTGAATAATCGTTTATGCAATAGAACAAATAATACAACCAACATATGAAATATTCACAAAGGGATAAAAACCGAAGAGAGAAAAATTATTCATAGATTTCTGTTCAGTTTCTTTTTGAAAAATGAGCTTGGTAATCAGATGAGTGTAGATGCAAGGGTGATTGTCATTATCAAGTGTAGATGTAGATGAAGAGAAGAATTATATCTATATTCCATACATACATAATAATATCCAAACATACATACTCTCAAGATAAACTCTGCATCTGTTTGAAACAAACGAGAATGAAAAATAACAGAACCCAAACAAATGCGTTATGAGAATGCTTTATTATTATTTTGAATTAAAAATATTTGGAAAAATCCGAAAAACAATAACATTAACATTTTTCCATTGTTATTTTTGAGAATCTATCGAATATTTAAACCTCATTAGTCTATCAATTATCGTGAGAGATTTTTCTCTAAAAAAATTGAAAATATAATTCATTTTAATCGTATATTAATGAGTTAAGCAAGAATCAGTTCATCATCAATAGATTCAACGAAATTGGACGAAAGTCCACTGAAAGTCACAGTCGATTCTATTCATCTCAAGAAATCTTCATTGCGCCCTTCACTGACAAGTATCAATTGCAATAGCGAGCTGCCAAGTTTTCCTACTAATTTTGATATTGAATTTTAACGAATATCTCTGGATGAAAAATATAATATATTAGAGCTACGCAAAGATCCATATAACCAAGAATTACGTAAGGAAGTTAATGAAATTTTGAAAAGCTTGTCATGTATTAAAGCGTAGTAGTCTTTATTGAATACAGAAGATGCCATGTAAAAACAACGTGAATACGAAATTAAGCAACAAGAATTTAAAATTGATGAAGTACTAAAATTAAATAAAGCTGGATCGGTTATTGATGTCTGTTTCTTATTGAACTGTACGAAAAGTATGGCAAAGTATATTGGTACAACGAAAACACAAATTCGTCAACTTACCGATACTTGAATTCAATTATATACTATGAAATCTCACCTCACTTGCGTTGGATATCTAGATATAGATGAAAATAACGAGAAATTTGTCTTTTTGATGATAATGTAAACATGTCACTAGATAAATATTATTATCAATCTGAATATATCTATGAGATATTTATTAAAAAAAACCTGTTTTTTATTAAAATTCTACTGCAATATTCACTTAAAAATAATAAATTAGTATGTGCGGTTGTTGTTAAGCATTCGACCTCATCTAAATCCACATCACCTCTCAATTACTCAAAATTCTCTTAAAAATTCATTAGAAGAGAGCCAAAGACTATCGAATTTCGTAGAAACTGTGCGAAAATTCTCACTTTATCTTTTCAGACGCTTCCAATATTTACATTCCTAGCACAAGCGTTCAATATAGATTTGTGAGTGTGACCATGCATTCGAATATTGCCAACACCAACATCCACTCACAACCAAACGGCTACTTCTTATTTTTGAACATGAAGAAAACTAAGTTTTCGGTAACATAAAATTGCTCTAAATTTTCTATTGATCTAAAGTTGACAATTTTATATGAAATACATTCTGTGAATGAGAACTAAATATTTAGGACAGATAGGTACTAGCTGATGAAGTTTAATCAAAGTTAGATCGAAATTTCAGAAAGATTTTATCTTCTTACCAAGATGTATGTTTCAAAACCTTTTTTTTTCAATATTGTTTTCTGTATTTTTGAATATAAATGCTCTTATATTTCAATCAGTGTGTGTGTATTTTGCAGCTCAATAGATTGAGCAATAGTGAAACCTAACATTTAGCGAACTCTATTATTGCAGTTAGTTTAAAGTAAAACTGAATGCATAAAATTTTTATTAAAATTATTACGAGTAAATTTTTAAAATTTTAAAAACGAAAAATTTGAAATCTAAGATTATCCTCTATTTGGATAATTTTAAATTGAAAACAACAAATGAGATTGAATTTCATAGGTTTTGAATTTCGATTTCATGTTCGAAAATGAGAAGAAACGCAATCAAACTCATCTCGTACAAAAATATATACGCTTGCGATTGAAGTTACCCAATATCGTGTATCATCGAGAAATACTATGTTGGAGAAATAATCAAAGTTTATTGCGCATAAAGTGATACAAGGTGACGTGTTTTTATTCTATTCCTTCTAGTTGACAACGGATGACTCATCAACCTCTACATTTGTGTCGCATACTTGAAATTACACTATTTCATCAGCTTTCTTTTCTTTGTGTTAGTTATAAATCAAGTAGAAATCACCATTCGAAAAATTTTTGCTCTTGAGATGACTACACACTCTAGGAGCTACTCATCAGTGGTAAAAGAAGATCCTTCTACTGTTAGATTACAACTCTTCAAGCTTATTGGTTATGGTAAATCGAACGAACTCCATGAATATTTACATGAGAGACGGTATGCGTGTAATTTACTCACGGAAATGCATATGAATCCATCAAACAATGAATGTCTCAGTTTGTTAATGATAGCCGCTCTAAATGGACATGATATGGTGGTACGCGAAATAATTTCACGTTCTGCTAACAAAGCAAAACTGATTGAGCTTGAAGGCCGTGTGCACAGCATTAGTGGAGATCTTGTAGACAAAGTAACTGCATTATGGTGTGCTCTTGACCGAGCTCATTTTTCTGTGGCACATACTCTGATTAATCTAGGTAAAGCTGACGTTAATCACGGTCCGCTTCATCCATTATTGGTTGATGCTACCATTAAGGGACGATTGGATATTGTTGAGTTCTTAGTCGAAAATGGTTCTGCTGATATTAACCAGACAAAGACAAATGATGAAAATAAATCAAGTAGTCTTATTGTAGCTGCCAGTCATGATCATACACAAATTATTGAATATCTTCTTAAGAAAAATGTCGAACTCGAGTCAAAGACATGTGTTGATGAAAACACAGCATTAGCTGTAGCAGCTATGGAAGGTCATTTGGAATCTGTAAGACTCCTGTATATGGCGGGCGCTTCTTCCGATGTTGCAAATCATGCAAAGAAAACACCGATAGCTCTAGCGGCTGAGAATAATAAATTAGATGTCGTTAATTTTCTACTTGAGCAAAATCATGATCATGCAACTTTTGACGACCTTGAACTCACTGTTGCTTCACATATACTCTCACATAAGAATACTGAAGATTACAAACCTGAATGGGTGATACAAATATTGCAACATTCGTTCATCAAACGATCACAGCTCAATATAACTAAAGTTGTTGCTGAACCGATTACTGTCTACGATTTCAAACAAGAATGTCAGTCAATCGATGAACTCGACCAAATCAAACACAATGAGGATCGTCTGTATATAGAGGCATTACTTATACAAGAACGTGTTTTTCTATCTCGAAAAGATGAGAAACTATTCACGCCGTTATTCGAGCGAGCAACTGCACTTATTGAAAAAGATGAATTCGATCGTTGTCTTGATTTGACATTGCATATTTTTCATCTGTGTCAACAATTTGAAGTTCAGAATTGTCGTCAACAATTCTTCTGGGTCTTCTACAATATGTTTAATTCAAAAATGTCTATTCCTGTTGATCGATTTTGGGAGACGTACGATCTCATCTTCAAACCATCACAGCAGAATTCAATTAATTTCCAGAAAAGAGATATAAGATATATATTGGCAACCGCAGGAAAGGTATGAAATAGTTCTTGAGGAGATACGAAATTACCAGAAGATAGGTCATTTAAGATCTATCCTAAAAATTTTTGCTATCGAATGAAAATCATTACAGAATTATTTTTTATTTGGATCTTTCGTTTACGAAATACGAATAGTACGTATGCTTGCTTTGAGTTGAAGTTTCAAGCTTCTCTTTGCCATTATCCGTGCTTTTTGATTCACATGAAATTTTGCAAGAGATTAAACAAAAGTTAATTTTACCAATAATTTCTTCTGATTTCTCTATACCGAAAAAGACCGAACAGCGATTTTTTGTTAGCCACCGATGAGTTCTTCTCCAACTTTTGAAAAATAAACAAAAAGACAAAAAAAACCAATATTTAGATGAAGTGCAATCGAAATAAGAGTATTGTATTGTCAATGCTATTCTGTAAGCACATCATACTCTAGAAAAGAACTGACGTCAATGTAAATGAAGGGCACTGTCAAAAAAATAATGAATATTCTATTAGTACATTCTCGGTAGTTGCCCGATAGTTGTAAAACTTCAACACTGCAGCGTCACTCGTGAGACTTTTGGAACTACAGAAAGAGTTTTGGTTTTGGCTTCGGTTCTATCTAAACCTACAGTACCATCCGTAGTTAAGAACCTACAAAAAAGACTTTATTGTATATTTGTCACGCCTCATTTCATTCTAGTGTCCCGAATTTTTCGATGTTAGACATATCCGCAATAGTTTAAAATTCATGTCTAAGCAACGTGTACTGCTATCAGTTTGATTTGAAACGCTAGGATTGATCTGTTATACCTAAACTTCAATGATTTCTTGAGTTTCACGAGTTCAAAACTCATAGGATTCAGAGATGTCTCGTGAATTTTTATTTCAAGATAGTTCTTGCTTTAGAAAACTTCGAAAAAATAGATCTGTAACAAATCTATAAATGTCGATATTTTTTTTTTCTTCTTTAAGATGGATCATTCTGAAATTTCGTTCATTTTACACGAACTCAATTTAAGTGAAGATTGTGTTGCCAATATTTACAATCATGGCTCATACGCTCAGGGTACATGTACACCTAAATCTGATCGAGATCTGATAATTGTTACTCGTTCATGTCAAAATCGCCTATGGTTTCACAGTGATTTTGATTATTTTCATGGATTCGAATTACATAAATTATTCAATAAATATGATGTTTGTATATATTCAGTGGAAAATTTTCAACTAGCATTAGAAAAAAATTACTTATTCTGTGTTCAATGCTTATTTTTACCAGATGAATTTAAAATTAAAGAAGAAATCGACTTTCGAACAATTTATCTAGAAAAATATTATAATATAGAACGAATAAAAAAAGTGGCTTTTTATGAAATGTTATCATCGTTCAACTTGCTTAATCCACCTAAGAATCCAATTTATCCAAAACGTAGTTCAACTGAAAATGAAATAAATCAACCATTGTCAGATTTTATATTTAAAAATTTATTTCATGGTATTCGTTTCTTAGATATTGGTGAACAATTAATTCAAACACGATCAGTATATGATTTTACTCGTGTATCATATATACTTAATGAGATGAAAGATATACGTGGTGATCCAACAGACGAATCAAATAAACATCGGTATACAATAATTATCGAATTTTCATTCTGAAAACGAATCATTTTTTCTTTGTCAATTTTAGTGTCGTTGAATATGTTCGTAAAAAAAGTGCTGAGTTCAAATCAAAATTAGATGCACTTGTACCAACAAACATTATAAAAGGTACATTCAAAGTATATATTACATTCGATTGTAAACGTAATTCTGAACAAGTCATTGAAAAATTAAAAAAAACATGTCAAAATACGAAGTATAAAATTGCATTCATTCAGTTATGTGCTGATCAAAAGAAAAAAAATCTTCAACAATTAATAGCATTTTCGTATTATCACGGTGAATATCCATCGATTATAGAACAAATTGAAAGAAAAGTTCATGAACAATTTAAAGATTTTAATATTCTACGTATACAAATAAAATCATTAGCATCAAATGAAGGTGTACCACAAACTAATATTGATAAACAATTATTCTGGAATGAAAAATCATATTATTTTGAATTTCATTATCGAATTATTTTAAAACGAGAGCTTGATGGAGACTTTTTAAAACTTCTTCAGAAAAGATGTGAATCGAATTCTACATATAAGTTATATCTATCACCTTATGCATTTAAACAAATAGATCATAAAAAATTTCATTATATAATTATAATGCGTTTATTTGATGTTGGTCGAGATGGAGCAATTCAAATGAATTATAACGTTGTCAAATATGACAAAGGAATTCTTTGTCTACCATCAAATGTGGAACCTGAGTTTATTGTCTATGATACAAACATGGACTCGATGAACATTGAAAATGTTTAGTTTTGTTATTATCATTATTTTTGAAAAATTTGTCTTCTAGTTGTATCTATTTTAAAAATAAAAATATTGTATCTTATTATTGTTTATAATATACTCATTTGCTTTGATATGATGAATTTCAAAGAATGATTGGCATGGAATGATGACTAATTCAGTGATCTTAAAATGGATTTGGTACAAAGAACGAATCTTTTCTCTAGTTTTAGTTGAAATTTCGACATATCTGGAATAATACGAATTCTAGAAGATCGAGTGAATATCGAGACTGTCCATCGATGAAAACAGAAGAAGAAAAATCATCCTTCGTTTTTTTTACGATAGAAATCAAGAAAATGTAATCTTGTTTGAGACCAATAAACCAAATCTTATACTCGAAATTTATTAAGAGAATATGGCAACATTGGACATTTTAGATATCAAACTATTGGTGTTGACTGTTTCGTATCTTAGGAAAAATATTTGTAGCATACATACGAGGATAAACTATAATGCTGTATATATCAATAAAACATGTTGTCTGTATAATTTGTCTCTTTCTCCTCTCACGTTATGCCATTTGTCGAAACGCCTCGCGCAACCGTTGTGTGAACGAACTCAAGTCTATTCGATCTGTAGTTTGACTTTAAAAATTGCCCGAATAGTATTGTGCTTCTCACACTATGCAAATTTTCTAGAGAACTTTTTTTTGAAAAACTTTGAAACTTAATCTATGCCTAAAAAATGTTGCTTACGTTTCAGTGAAAGTCTATGAGTATAGTGACGTGAGTTCTTTGTCGTCGTGTACGATGAACCTCATTTATTTGATCTGATAAACACTTTTCAGTTTTTCATTTTGATTTCTGATGACAAATGCCATTGCAAACTAGTATTACTTGAAAATATTAACTACTCAGAAATTGTTATTAATTCAACTTGATCAGAACTGCCGTAACCTGTATATCCGCCTATTATGGACAAATTTTTAATTTTGCACAATCGTGCTAGACAAATTTTTGTTTGTTCTGTCAATGTTTATGACAACCATGATGAAGCATTCTAGGTCCACAAGTCTACTTTTGTATCGTCACTGAGGTTAGCAAGATAGAAATAAAATGGGCATGAGTACATTGGTGCTGCTGAATAGAAGAGCATCTTAGCATCGAAAGACTAATCATCACGTCCACATTTCAGCAAAATATTTGTTCACAGTCAACTGATGACGAATTTATATATAAGAGAAATATTTAAAAAAAAATAACGACAGGTGTTATAATTTTTTATGATTGAAAAAATATCAGAAACATAAAATAGCATAATGTTGCTGTAATTATGTTACATCGCTAGGAGATAAAAGTAAAATTTTAACTTAGACAGTAAAACATACATAAGAAAGTTACATCAACAAACAATAAACACATAGAAAGGAGAAAATTATTCGCATGTTTTATAGTCTTTTACTTTTTTTTGACTATTAAATAATGGTTTGTTATTCCGAGAAAAAAAATAATATTAGGCTATACATAGTCATTTTTACGTGTGATATGTTTTTACAAGTATAAGTTATCACTGTAAATATCCTTCATTTAAATAATTTCTAGAGAACAGTCCATTTCACGCTGCTAATTTCAATTAGAAGAAGAAGAAGAAGAAGAAGAATTAACGAACTATTATCAAATGAAGTGCAACGCTTTGAAGAAAATAAACTAGTAAATATGTTTTATTAATTGTTCTTACTACCTTAATACTCTATCTTTGAACGTGATAAAACTCGTCACTTGTGTCATACCAATAGGTAAAAATACATAAGTCTAGAAAAATCTGATGCATTCAAAGTTGTCCAAGCATTTCTAGAGCGATCTATGTTGTTGACGGACTCGTTATCATTAGCAGGTGACAATTCGTACAAGTATTTGAATAATCTGAAACATTACCATTACTATCAAAGATTTTGATTGAATTTGTGTAGTTGAAGTAATTGAAGCATGATTGCGTAACAGGCAATTATGACTGATTTGACGTCAATAATGAGATCATTGGTTCGTTATCAACTGTACACTTATTCGACTGCATGAATAGGTTCAATGTCGGTGGAGGGTGAGAGTGATGATAGGTGAAGATCTTCTATTCACCCATCCTCATTCACTCGCTTAAATTATCGATTAGATGCTTTGAATTCTAGCTTTGTTGAACGACACAAACTAGCTTTCTCGAAATTGTTCCGTCCTTGAAAATTTTGCACAATGAATAACACACTTGACAGCTGACATAAAACTCAATATTTCTCATAAATGCTGCATAGAAGACTGTACTTTGGATGAAGCCATTGAAAATATTCATTTTTATAAGTGCCCAGCTGCATCACTTAAACAAGATGATCATATCGACTAATCATAGACACAGTGTGGAGGGTTCTCATATCAAATAAATTATTAGTCATCTAAGTGAATGTCTGACTCTCAACAGTACTCTATGAAGTAACAGCTGTCCTAGTTGTGTCTTGATTATTAAATAGTACCAGTACACATTGAAACGTCACAATAATGCTACGCTTCGTTCGACTTTTGAAACGATTCGCGAGTGTTAGACATATCTGTCTTCTTTTTCTCATCATTTTACTAATTTCTGTCATCATTTCACGATATACTTTCATATCGAATGAAGTTAATTCTATTCCACCGTCGAATCTATCTCCGTATGATCAATTTTGCTGGGTTGTCGCTCGTAAAATATTTCTTGAACGTTCATTTCGCATCTCTCAGCATCTAACTTCTCGTGATGAACCGATTCCCTACTCGTACAATAACTGGCAATCGAGTCCATTGATGCCTCGTGCTCTGACACCATGTGAACATTCTCTATTTATTCATCTTTTGTCAATTCTTATTAAACACGTCTTTAACAAATACAAGATTCCATATATGATGATGGCCGGTACATTACTTGGTTCGTAATTTAAGGTTTAAAAAAGTCTTTTCAGAATCAGATTTGTGACAACTCTAGTTTAGCTCCCTGAACTGAAGTTACTCACCAGTTCAGCTTTCAGTAGCCAGGTTACAAAGTCTTTTCTACACGTTATTCTATAACTTTTCTAGGGCTACTCATGAATTAGCCTTATTACGAGTGAGTCATCTAATCTAATGTAAAATTAAGTTTTAAGCGATTGGACAGGCAGCTTCGAATTCGTCTCCATTCCAGTACGGATAACACATGATATTGTCTGGGTTATTTAAAAGCGAGCTCCTGTTAGTACAGGTTTAACCCGAATAATATCCTGTTTTGTCTACACTAGAGTAAAGAGAAACCCTGCTGAAAACTGACTGGCTAGAAGCCTTTTCTATCAATCAATCAGATTTTAGCAGGGTTATTCTCCACTATTGTACACATTAAACATGGGTTTGTTCGAGCCAATTAGGAATAAGCCAAGGTTCTCTTTCAAGTGGTCGGAACAACGTCATGTTTCATCGGTACAATAGTAAGGATAGCTCAAATTGAAAAGAATTCATGCATCCACTTCAGTTCATATGAATGGAACTAGTAAGCAGCCCTTCGACTGAGCTCTGGCAAGCTGTTAAGTTGGAGCTGTGACATATCTATTCAGAAGAGTGATTTGTTTTTTTCACGATTGATCCTGATGTTTTTGTTTCGTCCATTGTAGGCAGTTATACCTATCATGATATAATTCCATGGGATGATGATGTTGATTTGAGCGTTGCCATTACGGATCGTTATCGACTTCAATCGATAATCACATCTGAATTGTCATCATCACATTCGATTGTGCTCAAGCAAATGTACAATGAACGCGATTATGATAAAGTGTTCTTCACCTGGTGTCCATTTGCTGGAAAGACATCCTGGCGCTTTCCATTCATTGACATTTTTTATCATCAACAAAATTCTACACATGTATGGCTGGTCGGCAAACCAGGTAGTTGTCCTGTTCGTCGTCAAGATGTCTTTCCGCTAATACTTCGACCGTTTGGACCACTCTGGTTATTGGCACCGCGAGAACCAATCACACATTTCGAATCTCGATCGATGAACCGAATCGGCTGTTATGCATTTCCGTACTCTCACAAATACGAACGATTGTTGTACAACGATACTCGGTATGCCAATTGTTCTCAATTAAAATCTATCTATCCAAATGTTGAACGGCATTGTACATCCACTGAATGTATCGAATATCTCAAATTGCACGACAAAATTCTTCATACGATTAGTTTCACTCCGGTTTATCGAACCTTCTTCTATGCAGAGAAAAATCCATCATACAGTGCATGTTAAACAAATTCTACATCTCATTTTGTATTTTATAACTCAGTATTAAAAAGATCATCGAGAATATCAGGACGGATCTTTTCTTCTATCCGATTCGAAATATCAATGTGGGTGAGGGTGGAGTTGAAAAGAAGAATAACTCTCACAGTCATCCTCACTTACCTTTAACTTTAATAGATCATAGCTAGTCTGTCCTTCTGTGAATGTGTTCATTTCGAATTTTTTATATGTTTAGTTTTATCAGAAGCTATGAAAAAAAGGGTGTCGGTCGTTGTTTAGAAGAAGATCCATATCCGTACACACCTTCATCTCACATTCACATCCTCTAAAGCATAACAGCAATGTAATGAAACAAAAACAGCAGACTACATAATAAAATGTGAAAGTGGGTGATGAAGAACGAAAAGAAGACCTTCATTTGTCCTCTTTTTTTCGTTGAGTGTTAGTCACCGAACAAAATCTGTATGTGCGTCAGTAACTGTTTGAATTAATAAATAAAAAAAAATTTCATTTCGTCTTTCTCTGACGCAGGCTGTTGTTTCTTGATGATTCATCGAATTGTCGTTCGATGAAATCATTCTTTTGCTCTCACACCGAACGTGTAAGACAAGAAAAAGTCCGTTTTCTAAATCTTTTTCTTCCATTGTCATCACCGCCAAACCATGGCGTCAGTTTCAGACGACGACATATTATCCGTCATACAAGGTCTGTACATCTTTATCTTTATTCCTGTCAGTCAAAGAAGTCTATATTATTGATAACAGATGCAGAAAATCGTGTCAAGAGCATCAAGAGAAATCACTTAATCGAGTTGTGCTATATAGTAAATCCTCCCGTAGCAATCATTTACTTATTTCAAGCATTAGGTGTCTTACTTCAGCCTGATACATCAAGCGATGAGTTCATTTGGGTTTCAGCACGCCGAATGGTCAGACGCAATAATTTCATTGAGATGTTGCTTACCTTCGACAAGGATCACATTAAAGTTGAACAATTAGCACGCTTAGAATGCTACTTAGCACGTGACGACATGCAACCGGAAAGGATGACTCGTTTTTCATTGATAGGTGGTCATCTTCTTACATGGATTAGAGCAATGACTAAGTATGCCCGCACAATGCAATCATATCAGTCTCAGTAAATGTATAAACTTGTCTGTTCTAGTTTATTGTTCATCATAATCACAAAAAATATTCGATTTTTTTTGTGATGTAATCTGTGTATTACTTGGAGTATTAGGTGTGATTGTGGGTATGGATGGGTGAAAATCATTTCTATTCACAGCCACAGTCACACCCACTTTGCTTTTCGACATGTGTTTGTCAACTTTTTTTTTGTCGACATTTTTCTATTTTCTCCCATTTGAGCAAATTAACTGTTCTTCTGAAGTTTCTTCTCGTTTTTTGCTTTCACGACGAATTAATAATAATTAATGATTTATGCGTATCAATTAATTGTTTTAAATTGTTCATTTTTACTTGAACTCGATTAGTTTCCAGACAGTGTTCTTGTTTTAGATTTTCAACTTCTTGTCACTTTGTTAGGTTAGAATGAATCCATTTCTATTGATAATGTTTCCCATCGCTCAGTAAGATCTTGAGTTTCACAATCAAATGTTATATCCAATATGACAGAACGATGACATCGTCTTTTTCAACCATCGTTGGATTTAGCTTGTTCGATAGAGACTATAGTTCATTTGAGTATGAAAGAAAAAGCAAGAAAATCTCTTATCGTCTTCGACAATAATTACGTTATCAAGCTCGTGTTGGCAAAGATACGAAAGATAACGATAAGAACTATGGTTTTTTTTCTGGGTTATTTTATTTTTCTCTTATTTGCTGGAATGAAAAAAAAATGCTTATAAGTCAAGATCAATTCTTGCTTTCAAATTTTACTTGATAGTCTTCACAAAAAAGTGTACAATATGGATATTTAAAAAACAATCAGTTTCTATAGCATAATTAAAAATAACGAAGACTAAAAAAAGCAAAAAGAAAACTTAACAAAAACACAGTTTCAATGATTCATTGATTGTTCAACAATTTTTCTTCGAGTATATGTTAGTACTTTAAATATCTGTACAATCTGACGTCATCTCTATCGATATTCAATTTGATTTGATCTGAGATATTCTTGCTTTTTAATTATATGTATTTCTTGTTATAGGTTTTGACTAATTTTTTTCTTGGTCAGTATAGTATGTTATAACATGAATTATACCGATAAAGAAGAACAATCAATGCGTTTAGCAGACGATTGAATGTGAAATTGATAGTCGAATCATTCAACAACATTTAGGCTTTGATTTAAATTGTTTTTACGCCTACACATATTTATCATAGCTACTTTTTCAATTGATTTTTTCTACACATTTTGAGCAAGTGTATCAAAGGTCATACTATCCGATTTTTTTACTTTGTCGAAGGTTGTTAACAAAGTAATTTTTACCCAGAAAAAATATATACTAATAGATTAAAGATAAAATGTTTTATATATCATTTTTTTTTGTTTGAACATCAAACACAAAAAAATATGAGATATTTGATAATAGAACCATCTTCTTTTGAGGCAATCGATGACGTTATATGCTTTATTTTAAGGAAGAACCTGGCCATTTCTGTTCACCGTAATGCTCGTTCTGGGTTATGATCTAATATACCACCAGCTAGCTTTCAACAAAAACAGTTCTTATCGAAATTTTATTATTATGATATTAGTTGAATAATGATCAAATAGCATAGAAAAATAGAACGAAAGACGTTCTATCTGTTCATAAAAAAAGAAAATTTTTTTAAGCTTTCTATAAGAAAATAAGATAATGGCGCCAGAACTTTTGGATAACCCTAAGTAATTCATATGCTCCGTTGTAAGAAATACAAGAACAAAATGTCTTTAAATGGTAAAAGAAAAAAATTCAGTTAAATATTGTTGTAAATATATGCTTAATCTTCTGTTTGTTTTAATATCTCATCACATTTAGTATTGGTAGTGCTAGCACTAGCATCATCGATATGAATTTCAGATTGCATTCTACTACCACTGTCAACTGAAGAACTATAACCAATATGTTTCGATGATGATGACAAACAACTTGTTTCACCAACAGTAGTAGTTTGTGTAGCCACAAGTCCTTGAATTCCTTTATAGTCAGTTTCACTTGATGATGAACAGCCTTGATTGATTCTTTCATATGGCTGATGATAATGAACAGTATTTCCGTATGTATTGGTATTTGTTAAAGGTGTTACTGATGAAGGCGACTAGAATAAAGAATTCTTATAGTTTTTTCCAAAGGGCCTTTTTTTTGAAAAAAATATACTATATCTTCATTAACACCAGCTTTAAGGGCTTCCTGAGCCAGTATTGTAGAATCTAAAAGTGATGTTCCATAGCGAGCTTTATAATCATAAGGATTTTCACGAATAACATCACGATTTTCAAATTTTCGGTTTATACGGCTATCAACATCTTTATGATTAACAATAGTATGAGTTGGTTTAGGATATTCTATAGCAGGAGGAGCGCGCTTCACAAATACTTCGCGCTCAGGTTGAGGTCCATATGGTAGCCATCGTTCAATTCTAATATCACCTAAGTAGCACAAACAAACAACAATCGGAAATAAAAAAACCAAAAAGAAAAACGAAGACAATTCTTTTACGTGGTTTTTCTGGAAGTCGTGGCAAAACTTCAATGCGAACCGATCGTGGTGGAATAGGTATAGGAGATAATTCACGAATATCTAGAAAACAAAATATATTGAGAAATTTCATTTATTTAACATGTATTTCTTTTTCCTAACATTTTTCACTGCAACCATGTAGTGGTGGCTTTGGTGGCAGTTCACGTAAGATAAGTGGAGGTGGCGTAGAAGCACGTGGTGGATGCTGACGTATGACAATCGGTGGAGGTGGTGGCGGTTGTGGTGGACGCACTTCTTCGATAATGATCGGCTGAAATCATACAAAGATACATAAGATTGAATTTTTAAACAATTTGCATCATTACTCCTGGTGGTGGAAGAGCTGGTGGTTGTAAATATTGAATAACAACTCGTTGTTCATATGTTACTGGACTGTCACCTATTCGTAGTTCAATAATATCTGGCTTAGAAGTCAAATAAATATTCCCATCTAATTCAGCAAGACGCTGGTTCGTTTCTTTTTCACTATACGTATTAATCGGACTCTCACTAATCAACTGAGTACTTGCTGTTGCACCCTGTCAAAAAAAGAGTAGAATATTAAACGGTTGTCCTCTTGGCAACTTATCATAGGCCCTTAAAAGGTTTATGACAACCTTCTATATTCTTAACGAGCTTAGGAATCAAAGGGTTTATGAAAGCAAGGATATATGAAAATAAAAAGGAGGTACATCCACGCAGGTCCGCTCACTTTTTAGAGAAGTTTCTGCTGGCAGCATTTAAGTATGCTAGTCTTGCAGGTCTTGCCAATTTGTGTACGAATTGCTATTTAGTTTTGATTAGAATCATGTGTTAACTGAAAACGACACGCTCAAAAATCGATTTTTTTTTTGAAAAATGGCCACAAGAACCTATCTATTATTTTTTTGTTGAGCATTCTTGCAGTCTTTCGATTTAACCA